AAAAAAAAAAAAGAATTTATAAATTATCAAGGGGGCATGGGAGAGGAAGGGAAAAAAGTGAGGAGCTGATGCCAGGGGCTCAAGTAGAAAGAAAATGTTCTGAAAAAGATGGTGACAACAGATGTATAGCTGTATTTGACAAAATGGAAATATGTATGGATTATAAGAGTTGTAAGAGCCTTCAATTAAAAACAAAAAAGGTCTTGTGCAGCAGATTTAGCCAATGCAATATGTCATTTGACCTCTTGGCGGCTGCTTCCATGAGCATTGATTAAGGATCCAAACAAGAAGCACTAAATCTTTGACAGCTTCAGTCTTTTCTCCATGTATCGTGATTTACTATTGGCCTAGTTGGGAAGGTTTTGGTTTTATTTAGTTGTGAGCCATATTTAAGACTGCAATGCAATGTAATATAAACATGACCTGTGTCCATCTGAATGAAGGCATTGCACTGAGAATAATGGAGGCGTAGACCTTATGTCCTTGGCCCTACAGCTTGAGCTGGCACAGTAGGGACCCCGACACTTGGAGCTCTTCATCAGTAGAAGGAGAAGTACGGCAGGGTAAGGAGGCCTGGTGGGGAAGTGTTGGACTTCCAACTGCAAGGTCAGCAGTTCAAACCCTCCAGCCTCTCTACAGGAGAAAGGTGAGGCTTTCTGATCCCGTAAAGATTTCCAAAGCCTAAGAAACCTCACAGAGTGTTGCTATGACCCAGAATCTCCTGGATGGCAGGAAGTTGGGTGTCAGGTTTTGGCGATGGCAAGATGTTATTGTGGTTGCCAGGTACCGTCGCATCCGTTCTGACCCTTGGCAGGCTAGGACCAGAATGGGAGGGTGGGGAGGGGGTGGTAAGATTCTGTAGGGCTGGTGGACGAGAGAGGAGGTGATCCTCTTCTATTTGGTCCCCCAAAGAGAAAAGCCCCAGGTGGAGACTGCAGCAGGGGAATCTACACCAGGAAACACTTGCTTTTAGTTAGAGCTACTTGGTGGTAGGCTGGCCTGTTTGGAAAGGGATGAGTTCCCCTAATAAGTAAGGCTCTGGGACTGTCTAGCGGCAGATGCTGCAGAAGGACAGGCAAGGTGGCCTTCGGGTTAGCACCCGGGGCCCCTGATGCAGTGAGTTGGGGCTAAGGTGTCTGAAGCCAGTGGGTGATCTGAAGCCCAGGGGTTCTGACCTACCTTCTCCCGGCTGCTGTGGGCCGTCAGGGAGCGGTGGGCGGCCCCGCGTAGGGCTGTCCTGTAGTTACAGAAATTCCCTGTTGGGTCCATCTGGTGCTGGAAGGAGACAGGACACAGTGGGGTATCTCTGTTCCAGGGACAGCCATTGGCACCCAGAGAGTGGCCCTGGCCCAGGCTCCTTGTTTACCTCCAGGATGAAAAACTTGGCCGTCTTCACTTTGGCCCAGGTCTTCTTCAGCCTGGACACGGGGCTCATGTTCATGCCAGCTGGAGGAGGGGGGGCAGGCTATGAGGGCTGCTCAGGCCTCCACCCGCGCCCCTCCTTCCCATGGGCCACCCTGCAGACTATACCCTGACTCGCCCATTCAGCTGGCGGTCTCCACTTGCTGGACGGGGCGTGCTGGTGGGTGTTGTACTGGAGTAGTCCCAGCTTCTCTGTGTCGGGACCCCTAGCTCTGGTCTAAGTACTGTGGTCCCCATCCTGGCAACTAGTGGCTGAACTGACACCTCTGTTCGTCCCCCAGCCCCTGGCGACCCCAGTGCTCCCTGGATGTGGAAACAAGGTGCAGGGACAAGTCCTGTTCAGGCACCCTGAGGGGCTGGGCTTGCCTCACAGGGATACTTTCCCCAGGATCTCTGGGGTGGGGACGTGGGGCTACTAGCCAGCTTGGAGCTGTACCCAGTCCACCCCGATCGCGCATGCAGTGCTCACGGGAGGACCCAGCATGCATGGCCTGTCTGGTTGTGCCTATGTGACCTCCCTGGAGGTCGTCGCATGGGGTGGAGGGGCTGGCCCGGGTGGCTGACTCACAGATAATGGCCATCAGGGAGTTGAAGTTGCCGATGTTGAAGCACTCTCGGGCCACGTCGATGAAGAACTCGATCACCTGGGCCCTCTGCTTCTTCTTGGCTGGCTGCAGACAGGGCACCAGAGCCTGAGTGGAGAGGGCTCCCACCTGCCCTGCTTCACCTTCTCTCAGCCCATGTCCTGATTGAGAAGCTGGAGGCCCAGGGCAGTTTGCAGCTTGGGGGCGGGGGAGCGCCCAGGGTGTCCCCTACACATCACAGCAGAGCCATGGAGGGGCAGGGCAGAGGGGACTCTGAGACACAGCAGGAGATGCTGGAGAGGCATCATCACGCCCTGCAACTTCCTCCCCTACCCCCTGCCCCCAACATCCACCTCTGAAAAGCAGAAAGTCAGGCTCCCTCTCCTTGGCTCCCAGCACCAAGCTGGCGGAGAGGCCCCACAGCCCCCCACTGCTGTGAGACCCCCCAACCCATCCGCAGACTCCAGTCAAGTGAACAATGGCAGAAAGAATGGGACGCTGGGGGTCTCCCCCTGGGTACCTCAGAGCTACACCGGAGCCCTTCCCCTAGGCTCCTGCGGCTTTTTGGGTGCAATCTCCTAATTCTTAAAGGTGGATCACTTGTATCTCTAAATCGGGAGTGAGCTCCATGAACCTGGAGAGACCAGACTCCCCAAGGCAGGGATCGTGAGCAAAGCCATGCAGGGTAGGAATCCACTGATCCCTCATTCAGCCCTCGGTGGGTGCACAGCCTTGGGCTCAGCTGCCGAATCCATGCAGGGCTGCCCCAGAGGGGCTTTACTGCAGGCAAGCTAGGAGAGAAGGGGTGAAGGGGGCCTTGCCTCGCTCTGGGCTGAGAGACAGGTTGGGGCAGTTCAAGACACATCCTTCTCGGTCCCTTCCAGGTGGGCTCTTGCCAGTGCCCCCGGGAGCCTTTGCAAGTGCTAGGTCAGGCCGCTGGGCCTTCCACTTACCATGCAGATCTCAGTTGCCACGAGGTAGCACAGCCGGTTGAACCATTTCACGTAGGCCTCCAGGTGGTTCGTCTTGTCGCTGAAGCAGGGCTGGAAAAGATGTAGGGCCGGCCGAGCTTTGTGTTCATGGACTTCAGAACAGGAAGGCAGTCCGAGATCATTATGGACAGCCCAGAAGAGACCGAGAACCTCATCACCTTGTAAAAACACTGATGATTTCTCTCTGTGTGTGTTAATTTAACACATGTAGTTTGGAATGTGTTACATACAGATCTCCGGGGTTTCCCATGTAACTATTTTCTCGTGCCACAGACCATCCTTTGGAAATGAGTTTTAAATGGAAACATTCCACTCGGAAAGATTTCTTTTTCTTTTTTTGCAAAGAAGAAAAATCATCAGAGTAGGAAGGCTTTATGTACAAGAAGGAATAGTGGTGGTCGGGAATATATGAGAGTAAATTAAGAAAAAAGAGAGAGATATCATGAAACATTAACAATAACATCCCAATTGTGGAGTCAAAACAATTAAGATAAAAAGAAAACGCTGGACCAGGAGGAGACAACACACTAGGGTGAGGAGTCATGAAGCATTTTTGGAACCTGATGGTTTTGAAGAGGAAGGTAGATATATGGGTAAACGGTGCTCACTGAAATATGCAAGTTAACCTGCCAAGGTTACTTTCCACAAAAGGGAGGGGGCCAGGGAAAGAGGGATCTGGTGTGCTCAGGGAGGAAAGAGAAAGAGGTAGGAGAGGCCATGGAAAAGCGTAACAGAAGACAGCAAAAACAAAGTCATGTGGCACGCTGACGACAATCACTGTAGTTAAAAACAATTCAGCTACTTGTTCTATTTAAGAGATGTGTCCAAACCCAAGGATATAAGTAAGAGTCAGAGTGTGACGTGACATACGGCACACGGCTATATTCATGTGAGACCAGAGACTGCAAGGCACAAAGTGTCACCGGAAATTGGGGAATGACTACATCCTGGTAGAAAGTTCCCATATCAGAGAGCTCTCAGGAGTCTCTTTGCATCTTAGTCACACAGATTCAAACCGTGGGGGTTGACACCTGGGGAGAGAGATGGATTTCTCCCCCAGGAGAAAAGGAACTGACTGTCACATGTCCTCAATGGGTCAAGCACGTTTAAGATGTTTAAATACAAAGATAAGTTTGAACAGCATTTAAGAATATGCATGACTTTCCAACAATCATAAAAACGGATCATATATTATGCAACAAGACTAACAAAAATTTAAGAAAATGTGTCATCTAGATGCCATTCTCCGATTAAAATATTAGAATTAAAATACACGTAGGGAACCAGTGGAGAGGTCTGAGGGGCCGGCCCCAATCCCAACTACATGGACACCTGCTCCTTCCCCCAGAAGAATTTATTTCAGAGGACAGCACTGAATCTGTAGCTCAGGGAGAGGGACATGTCTGATCAGAGCACACGGGAGCAAATGAAGTGGGAGGAAGAGAGTGTGGAGCACATCCCGGCTCACCAAGCCTTGAGGACGATATTCCCGCTCAGAACAGCCAATCCACAGAGAAGACCATATAGCTGGCCTCACTATGAGACACGACATCCCTCACTGACCCATCGCCCTACGGGGGACAACACTGGAGACACAGAGTAGGAATTATGCCTGATCTGATCCCACCACACTGAGGCAAAACACTAAGGGCGTGCAACAGAACAGCAAGGGGAGCAGAGCAACGAAGTCCCTAGGGAATA